GATATTGACAGTTTTTTTCATTTTATAGTGAATAATCTAATGAAAAATGTGAAGTAGAAATTAAAATAATGTATTAAAAAAAAAAATCTGTGTAGAGATGTTCCTACTAATATACCATTGGATTTGCCTTGAAATCCCCCTGATTCATATTTCTGTAAATTTCCCAAAATTTTATGCCTTCCAGAGACAAAACTATTTTTATTCCACAGAGCCAATTTCTATCTGCTTATGGTTTATTTTAACCCATTCTTTCTGCATATTTTTCCTTTTGCCTCCTCCCTCTTTCGTCCCCTTCTTTAATCCATGTGTAACAGGTATAATGCAAAAACAGTGCTGTGAGAACCTGTGCTAGCTTTCTGACAAAATCATTTCTTTCGCAACTGCCAAATTCTCAGTGCTCCTCAGGGAAAAGAGGTGCTTGTTTGAAGCATACATCATATGTTTTCCATCACACACAAATTTTAATACTTACGATTTTTCTGTTACTGACAATTGTGCGACTGGAAACAGCCAGTAAACTGAACTCTAATGTAACTAGCCTGAGTATCTCAGGCCAGTTAATGCTGCTGTGATACTTGCCTTACCAAACTGGTATATATGTTACTTTGAAAGAGTTTAGAGAGGTGGGTAGGGATTAAAAGGCTGTTGCACATTTTTAGCAGCCCATACAGGGGCTACCTGCTGGCTTATAACCGCTCTAAATTGGCTTTGCCTGCCACCTCGGAGATCATTGGTTGGTTTGGAGTGGCCATAAAATGGGCTTTATTAACCTGTCGTGTCATAACCTCATCATTTCATCACTCGCTTTAATCAGGTATCCTGAGGTATCGGTGGTTTCAGAGGGTTTCTTCCTTCATTAACCTTGCAGTAACAGATGCATTAAACCCTCAAGCGCAGCCATGAGTATTAATTTCTTATATTCTTTTATACATAGCATAGAAGTTTCAGCTTCTGTTAGAGTTGGAAATGTGGCTTACTGATAGTCTTAAAATCCAAATTCTGCTTTTACTTGCATCAGTGAGGTCATCAGACTTCAGCTGGCAGGGTGGTGTGCAGGGTTGACCCCAGCCTGCTCGTGCCGGTTGTGCAGTCCCTTCCTCGAAGGCCTGTGGAGAGCAGCTCGTGGGAGGACTGAAACGTCCGGCTCAGACAGGCGCCGCTGCGCGCAGACAGGGCTCGCTCCTCCTGCTCCCACACCTGCACGTCGGCTGCGCAATGGGTGCCTGCCTGCTCCCCGCCCAACTTGGCAGGGGCTGGGTAAGATCATCTGCCAAGAGAAAGCCCTCACGGCCAGGTCTCTGGTACCGCCACAGCCTCTCTTCCCGCAGCTGACAGGAGATGGGTCTCACGGCTCTGCTATACCTGGCAGGCAGGTCACAGCGGGGAGAAACGCATGCGTGAGAGGTTTGGGTGAGCAGAGGAAGCGTCTAGCAGGAGCTGCAGCACCAGTCTCCCAAGGAACGTTTGCATTCTCGTGTCCCTTCTGTGGAGCCAGCCAGCTCCTACTCATTTAGGAAAGGGGCACTTCAGGGTCCTTTCACATCCAAATCAGGTTTTTTCACATGCCTTTCCACAGTCATAGCTATGTTGAACACTAGTTTCTCCATACCACCGCAGCGTTTTAGTTTCCTTCTCCTTTTTATAGAACCACCCACAGCGTATACTGCTCTAATCTTTTCAAAGCAATTTAAAAAGATAGTAGAGACACTCAAGGATAATCTCTGTGAGGCCCATAAATTGCTCACCACTGAAGGAAGCACTTGGAGACATGAAACGAGGGAACTGTAATCTGCAGAGAGGGAGCCTTCCTCTTGTTTGGAAGTACAGTGACCTGCAGACACATGAAACAAACCGCAGGAGTTTGCAAAGCCTCTGTCCTTTATTGAAGGATGCCACCGCAGGGATTAAGGAGAGAACTGCACACAGGCCAAGATATTAGTCACTCAGTGTAGTGTATGAAGACCGGGGGGGGGAAAAATCATCAAAAGGCATGCTTGACTGTGGAGAACAGTTCACCCTGCTTATTTTTTTTTCCTTGATATTAAAAGGCTCTTTTCTTTTTTCATATTATTATAGCAAGGTGCAAGGCTTGGCAAAAGACTTTCTCATTGAAATGGAAAGTTGAATTGAAGTGTCCATGGAGCTGTGGTATGTATATGAAACCAAAAGAAACTTGCAGCTGGGAAAAGTCAAGATTCAAGTTCAGGATATCAAGGCAAATAATGACTTGCCTTTTATTGTAGCAAAAGGGAAATAATGATCATTGTTACTTTATTACCACTTAAAATGCTTATGCCTAAAGAGGTTTCCTTTAATGGCTTACATGAAAAATACTCTCTGCAGGTTGTTCCTGTCCCTATTTAATCAAAGTCACAGGCACTGGCATTTGTGTGACAACAAATGCCAAACTCAGACTTGGAAGCCCAGGCCTGTGCCAAATGCCATGGAAAAACTGCTTGTGCATGAAGGGAAGTGGTTAGCAAGCATGCTCTGCTACCTCCCCACCACCTGTGGTGTAGGAGATCTGCAATCCCTGTACTTGCCGTGAGCGTGGCTTCCTGTGGGGTGGGGACCAACACCCAGTTCCAGGACACCAGGTCCTGGCTGCACAGCAGGAGTGACCTGCACAGGGCGAGCCGTGCCTCATTGCAGGAGGAAAATCGTCAAGGACCTGTTCTCTTCCCTCTCACAAGGCTGAGGGATCTTGCCCAGAGGCCTTGGACTTGTCCCACAAGCAGGCTGTTGGGTGCCTGATTCATTTTCGGTGAGAGAGTAGAGGGAGCATGGACCAGGTAGACAGTTTTTGCCCAGTGTGAAGTGTCATCCTTTTCCACATCTTTCTCTTGGTAGGTGATGAAATACACTCCAATGAAGACATGAGCATCCATGAGGCTTTGTGATGGGCTCTCAGCTGAGGACTTCTTCTTTGACCCAAGTTCCTTGTCCTGAAGAGTAGTTGATATTGCTGGGCTTTGTTGTGGGCCTTCATGAGCATTTTTGAATGTCCCTGAGCACTGCCTTCAGGCACAACTTTATCCCAGCCCTCCCTCTGAACAGTGATCCACTTACAGACAGGCAGATAACTCGCTAGAAATGGCTGCTGTAGCTCAATGTTGAAAAGCTGTGATTGCACACATATTCCCTGTGAAAGCTGATGCATGTCCAGGGCTTTGCTGGGGACCACAAGACGCTTGAATGGCAACCTCAGACAGCAGCACCATGGCAAAGAAAAGGCTGCACGTGCCGGGCGTGCCGGACAGCCTTGTGAGGGATGTGCGCATGGTCAAGCGATGCCCAAAGCTGGGGTGGTGGTGGGAATATCGGAGACAACCTGGGACTGTTGCAGGAGCACAGCAATGAAGGACTTTGGCCTTGAGAGTGCTGCTAGGGCCATTTTTAATCACTGAGCTGGTAAGTCCCAGGTCACTCTGTCACAGTCTGCTAAGCAGCATGCTTTAGCAGGCTTGTCAGGGTTAACCTCCAGCTGTCTATAGACAGACTTAGGAAGAGGTGTCTACAAAAAGTCAGCAGGAGGTGGGCTGTGGCTAGTGGTTGGGAAAATCAGGTCACTTGGCTGCTTAAATGGGATCTGTGGGAGCTGCCAGACCCATGCTGCAGACTTTAGGTTGGAGAAAGAGAGAGCAGCATGTCAGTGACCGGTACAGGAGCAAGATGGCTGGGGACAAATCAAGCCTAGCATCCTTGCAACAGACTTCAGTGAAGCGAGTGTGTGGGTCACTGTCCTCGCCATTAGCAGGCAGGTGACAGGCTTGCTGTATTTCACCACAACACAGCTATTTCTCCCTTCTTCTCGCTGTAAAGGGTTGCTCTACCCCCTTATTCTGGTCACATTGCCTTTATTCTCCTCTCTCACGGTGAGACTGTCATAACAAACACAGGGAAACCTTGACGGGAGGAATTAATCTGCCTCAGGAGGGACAAAACCAGCCTGTGGACACTGGAGGTTCCCAGTGAGGTGCTTTGCTTCCTTCAGCTGGGTGCCTCCACCGGGGCTGATTTTGCTGGGGGTGGGAAGGGACGAGCCAGTCGGGGCACAGGGATTTCAGTGCAGTAAGAATGTGTTGCTCACCAGGAAAACTTCTGCTCCGGATGAATTAATTCAGACTCAGATTTTTCAATTATGACTATAGCCTGATTGGTAAGAGAGGCTACATCTGAAATACAATCATCAATACCTCAGTAAAGACTAAAAATACTCCAGATTCACTCACTTAAATCACATGTAGCGTGGCTCCTCAACACGACGAGATCTTATTTTTCAGCAGTGCGGGAAAATCCAGCTGTGAGTGGAGGGTGATTAGCAGTCTAAAAATACAATTCAAAGGACCTAAAAAAATTTTTTTCAACCTGTACTGGAAATTATCTTCCCTTCTTTTTAAATTAGCAACTGTCCTGCTGGTAAAGTAACTTCATATCTGATTTCTTCTGCTATGTTGAAGTCACATTCTCAGGTGGTGACACCTCCCTGTTGTTTTTTACGGTTGGTTTTTTTTTTTAACCTGTGTGAGATTTTTCCTCAATTTCATTTGAACTAAAACTCCACTGGTCTTCAGTGAAGACAAAAGCACAAAAATACTGCTATTTTAGCAACTTATCAATATGCACTATGTTTGTGGGTGTGCCTGGGAGCCTGTAGGTTGTGGTTATCACCCTATTTTAAAGGAAGTCGTCTTTTTGTCAGATACATGCTCTTCATTAAAGATTTTTGCACACAGCAGTAATAAGGATACGAGGAAATCTGATGTCTTGGGCTGGCCACAGATTCACAGGCTGTATTAATAGATAGGATTAGTGAAGAAGAACAGGTCAGAAGGCTGCAAAGCTCCTGTCCCTTGAGATCTACTTCTTTAGTTCATTAGTCTCATTGAAAAGCTTCCTCGAATACAGGGAGCAGAAACTGAGGAAAAGGCTGAAACCATTTTATTTCACTGAGACATACTGGGGAAAGGGCAATTTCTGGGTCATAAGCTCCGCTGAAAATGTCTGTCCAGTTTTCTCCACAGGCACCCTGGAGGAACAACAACGTCAGTTTTCTGAGCAGAGAGGCGGCTGTAACAGAGCAAGGAGAGACCATCATAGGTTTCTACCTACTGGCTTTAGGTATGTACTCAGCTTGGATGTGAAAGGAAGCTCCTAAGTAGAGTTTGGTGTAAAGTTCAAAGTGATGCATTTGGGTTTCATCCCTAATGGAACAGGATTTTAGAAAATGCAACTTTTTTCTTCAGCTATTACAAGATCAAAGAAGTACAGCTTTCTGTTGTTAAAAAGAAATGAATAATCAATGCAGAAAAAAATAGTCAAGCCTGTAAACTTTTAACTAGTGTTCACTCAACTTAATCTCTGGGAAGATAAAAAAAGTACCTTATCAGAAGTGCATGACACTTTTGTGTCTTCTCATGTCTCAGCAGCACTGAATTAATGTTCTGTGATGTCCAGAGTTTTGACTGCTGCTGGTCAGTTGGCATCCTACGGTTACCTCCTGCAGAGACAGAAAATACAATTCCATTGTTTTAATTTTTTTTAACTATTTGTGCTGCTCTTGATTTAAACGTTTGATGCACAAAGAAATAAACTTCTTCAAACAGGATCTATGACAGATCTGAGTATTAGAACATCATCCTGTGTTAGCAGTCACAATACCGTGTGTTTATTTTGGTTCTGCTGCAAGGCAGTTATTGTAAGCGTATAATAAGGATTTGGAAATGGCACCCAATATGAACTCACTTTGATCCCAGTGCAATTTTGTTTTGTTTGTTTAAATATTGTCTATTTGGGGCAGACTCATTGCAGGATACAAGGAAACTTTATGAAATTTCAAAGAAAGCAGGGTTGCTAGGTAATCAAAATTTCCAACCATAAAACCTCACAGGAAAATACAAAAAACCATAACTTTTATTAAATCTGTTCTTCTAAACAGCATCCACAAAAATGTTTCTGTTTTTAAATGATTGATCTAAACAGATTTTTTCTTTTTCTAAGCTTATCACATATTGCAAGTAGCTTACCAGCCTTCAGCTTATGCTTGAGAAAGGTCTATGAAAGTTACAATGTAAAATGCTAAGTATTTTAATATGCTTACATGAGACTTTCTTTTTTTACCTATAGAAACTAGGGAGTTAAAAGTTGTGTTTAGAATAAAAACAGAGATTCTAGTAGAAAAATGTATGGCTTCTATCTTAGGAGGCTTAATTAGAAGAGTGGCCATAAGATAAATCAGAGTTGTTCCAATTTATCCCCAATCTGTTCACATCTGCGTACCCCTTCATGAATGGCTGGGAAATGGCTGCACCATCAGCTAATGAATTAATCAGTTGCGCTTAAGACTAGAAAGAACATCTTAGGTCAGCAAGGCCAGTCCCCTGCTGTGACAATATATAATCTCATTTACGAAGCTATCATGCTCCCTCATGTAACTGGCTAGGGTTTTTTTGGTGTTGCTACCACTCTTCCAGTTGACAGCCTGTTACTGATTGTAGGAGCCTTTCCCTAAGTTCTTAGCTAAAGTGATCACACCAACTTTATACCCTTTTTGTCACTCATTTTCATTGAAATAATTTTTTTGACTGCAATTAACGTCCTATGGCCAGTCTGCATTCCTGAAGGAACAATCATACCCTGTGGTCAACCTTTGTATTCCTATATTAAGCAAGTGAGGGGTGTTTTTTGTTTGATTGGTTTGATTTTGTTTTGGTTTGGTTTTTTAATTATAATTTATTTATCTCCGGTCATAATAGCCTTTCCCTTGTCATCCCAGCATATCATCCTAGCAGCCTTTTATGCTGTCTTTTCCAACCTGGACTCTTTTGGTTTTGGTTTTGGTTTTTTTGTTGGTTTTTTTTTTTTTTAAAACTTATAGCCAGGACTGAATACAGCATCCAAGCAAGGTCTTGCCATCACCATTCACATTAATATTTACACTTCCCCAGCTCTACTGATCCCTCCTAGTGTTGCCTCTGCATCACAGTTAGTTCAAACGTCTTCCATCAATTGACCAACAAAGGAGAGGTGTTTTCCTCTGATGCTTCCTGGTGAGCCCACATCTTCTAGCAAATATTTTTTAAAGTACCTAAGTGCCTGAACTTTTAGGTTGTATGTCTATTGGTTTTTGATTGCTCCAGATCCTTCTGCCAAGCTTAAAAGTGCTTGGCATGTCATAGCTGCTATTCTTGAAACTTACCTCCAGATTCAAAACTCAAGTTGCATTTCTTGCAGAGTATATATAACCAGTAATAGCACTACTCCAAGTTAAGTGTAGTGTGGATCTGGTTAAAATGTGATGGAGATAGGTATACCTTTTTGCAGTAAGAACTTTTGAAAAAAAAAAAAATCTGTTAGTAATACATAAATCAGAAAAGTCCTCATGTCTTTTTCTCCTCAAAGGACTACTGCCACACTTCTGCAAGCACCAACCATAACAATTTACAGCTATTAGTTTTATGTACACCAATACCTCAGTCTATCTGGGGAGCAGTGATGTGGCAGAACAAAGTACTCTGTTACGCAGGCACCCTTTTGCGCTTCTGGCAGCAGAGGACAAAGGCCAGGCCATGCGTTACCTTCCCATACCTGCGTTTCTTTTGGGGTCTGGAAAGACGATCTGCATTTGCAGGAGTCTACGGGTGCTTCCTTACACAAAGTCCCAAAGATGTTCACATTTCATACTTTTGGGTTTTTTTATGTCTTGGAAAACAGCTTCAGTGATTACACTTCTGTAACTCCTACATGTTTTCTTCTCTTGTGAATCTAAGTATGACAGTGCAGCTTTTTGCAAATTCTGACATACATTTCTGACACCAAAAGGATACGTGTGATTGGTGTTAGCACTTACCCAGAAGATGGGGTTTCTCTGAATCTCTTCACCTTCACCAGATAAAGTCCAAAAAACCAAATCTTTAGCTAAGTCTTCCCACAGTCACACATCTTGACAGAGGATGTGAATATCCAAGAACCATGATCTAACACCTTTTGCTGAGATGAGGCCTCTTTGCGTGTCCCCTTCTGGAAATTCTCACGTCACAGGTAGCGTGGATGTCATATGTGACAGACAGGACACTCATGTATGTGTTGTACATCATACACCAGCCAGACTGTATCAGATCCAGACAGAGGGGTCCTCAGCATACTGCATGGAAACCTGAGCTCAAAGCCTGCGCTGAATAGGTATCTCACATTAACGTCACAAGCAAACCAGCATCGAAGTGCATGAGTGCATTTTGCAAATGCCGATGGATTTTAAGATGACTGCACAGCTTCTTGGCATCCAAGTCACTGTTCCATCATTCTCCTTGCTAATGCTTTGGCCAGGGGACCAGCAAAGTGGGGGAAAAATGCAATGCCAATCCCATAGTGGTGAGCCATCGTAGCGTGCTTAGAGGGAGCATCTGCAGGTGATAGCAGCCACTGTGTTATCCTTTGTTAAGGCAGCGCTCTGTTTCCATCCTTCCTTCCATCAGCTCAGAACTGTCTTTGACAGAAAGGTGGGAGCTTGTCCTGTCAGCATTACGTCTGACCCCTTTTTGCCTATGCCCTAAGTGGTATAGTACTGTGGAAAATCCTTGTATAGTTTAAATTACTAGGAGCAATTTAAAAGTACTGTCCACAGCTGCTAGATAAGTCAAACTTAGACCTGGAGGAAAAAAATGAAGCATTTTTTTCTTCATAATTATTAATTGGAATTCTTAAGTAAATTGTTCTTTTCTGCATTTATACACAATTTGTTCTGTGCTCGTTTTCCCTAGTTTCACAGTTAACTGGGACTGTTAGAGTGAATGCTTGGCCTAAAAGGAAATTTTAAGTCAGTAGGAAAGAATATTTATTAGAGAACAAATTCTGACTTTTTGTGAGTGTTTCTATCAGAAGGACGTGCTGAGAGCATTACCAATCCCATCAGAAAACCAGACCAGACCACAGGACCCAAACATGCCTTTAAATGGCACATGTTTCCAAATGGTAATAGTAAACAGTTATTTGACAAGTGACAGAATGAGTGTTGTTTTGAGACATTGTTTGACAGATAAATCTGAGAAGGTAGGAAAGGCAACAAGCTATTCAAAAAATATTCATCCACAAAAATATCACATTTATTGAACAAATAATCTCTCCACGCTTTGTCAAGTCTAAAACATGATGACGCTTCTCCTTCCTGCCACAATTGGCAATCTGCCCTAGCTAGGATACCGTGTATGTATAATTAGCAGTGAAGACTAAAAACAGAGCAGGGTCACTTCACAGTTGCAATAGTTAATGACAGCTTTGCAAATTCTCTAGATTTTATCACTGTTTTAAATAAAATTTTCTAGTCTGAAAATCTTCTACAGCAAACTTCTTCAGATAGACTTTTATGCTTGTGTATAGGTAATTCAATCAGTAATTGACTTCATTCATGCCTGCTCTATATCTAGATGCTCAATCCAATTCCTGTCCTGGAGATAAGGTTATTTGCTGAGGGAAAAGCGTAGCTTGTATTGTGACACTGAGTCTTCGCCTTTTGCTCTCATTTCTTGAATTCTTCTACTTAAGACTCCCTTTTTTATATTTTAAACTGCAGATGGGTGAGTTGTAACACCCATTTTTCTAATTCATTCTTGTCAGATTTTACAAGTAAAGGCCATGCAACAATGTCTAATAAGAACAAATCTAAGTACAAAGCATAATAACCTATCTTAGCTGGGCATGGATGCAGTCATCTGATGGAAATGTGGATGACCAGCTCGGAGCTATCGATTCCCTTGTACCAAATTTAACTCTGCAAAAACATAAATAGAATGTTAACAATGAAATTTCATGCAGCCTCAGGTGTTTATTTCTTGTTCAAAGACCATCTCAGGTACATGAGTGAAAAATAGTGTGTGTCTGGATGCTCAGGCTTGAGTGATTTGGCAGAAATCTTTGTAAAATTATTGTGTTCCCTCTTAGCTATTCCCAGAGTTAAACAATCTCACTGTTCTCAGTCTCAATTGCAGAAAGATTTTCAATATCCTTAGTCACTCTTTCTGGCTACTTTTTCAGTGCTTTCTTTGCATGGGCTGGCAGACAGCATGCTGATGCAGGACTTTGTCGATAGGGTTTCAGTTCCTGACTACCACCAGCTTGCTTCGCAGCCTTCCTGTGCCTCCCCCAGAAATCATGGATAACAGCACCAGCCTCCTTTGTGGAGCATTTTTGACATCTGTGGATTAAAATGCTCTGTTAGGGGGTATGGTTCCAGGGGAAGGATTACTACTGAATTATATAAGGGCAATATTTTTAATATTGCTGTCCATCCTATTCCTCCTACCTCCCAGTGTTTGCAAATGTGGTACCAAGTACTTTCCTGTGGGTGTCTGAGGAGAAAAGATGACTCCTTAGCTATTCAATATTTAGCATTTATCAACACTTATTTAACCTATTCTGCTGATACTGACAGTCTCACAGCAGCTGCTCTCAGTCCTGCCCTGTGTTAATGAACTTCTGTAATTGTGTGTTATCTGTGTATTTTGTCACTTCAGAAGGGCCAGCATCTCTCGTTGATGAGCAGCCCATATCAGACAGCATTACAGTTTATGGGGGAAATGCAGTGATTCCTCTCTGAACCTTATGTTGGGTGGAAGTGCTCAGTTTCTTCTGCTATTTTTCTCTCTCTCTCAGCCACCTTTTGACCTGTCCTTTCTCACCAGGATTACCTTAGGATGATGGGCTTGGATTATGGGTTTGGTTTGGGGTTGTTTTTTTTTTTTTCATATAGTCTTGTGAGTGACTATTACTGCCAGCCTGCAAAAAAATGAAACTAGTTCCCTTGGTTGTTTCCTTTCTATCCTCTGTTTTATTGAGATGCCACCTAGTGACACCAAGGCCTTATAGCACCTCGAAGTTCAGAGGTTTCTTTCTGAGCTCTTGATTTGCCTGTGATCTACCCTGAGGCACATAACTGCCTGCAAAGCAGTTGAGGAGATCCCTACCCTCACTGAGAGTGTCAGCTGTGCTACTGCTGTGCTTCCTCCGCGTTGCATTTTCAACCTTTTTCCCTGTGGCGCTGTCAGGGTTTGGGGGAGGGAGGTTGTTTGGTTTGAGGTGTTCTTTTGGTTGGGGTTGGTTCGTTTTTGGGGGGGGGGGGGTGTTGTT